CGATCATAAAAAAAAAAAAAAAAAAGTTGCTGTGTGCATCTCTACTGAACTTTATTAAGTGTCGAGGATTTTCGTCTTGCAATTTTTCTTTGCAATGGGAAATTCTTTGTTAATTTGTTGCTCTCTCGCTCTCCCATTTAACTTTTCTTTTTCCGTCTTCGTCTGTCTCGAATTGTTAGTTTGTGAGGCATATAATGGTATATGCCTCTCTCTCCTGCCTCTCTCTCTCTCTCTCTCTCTCTCTCTCTCTCTCTCTCTCTCTCTCTCTCTCTCTCTCTTCTCTCTCTCTCTCTCTCTCTCTCTCTCTCTCTCTCTCTCTCTCTCCATTCTCTTTCTCTCTCTCTCTCTCTCTCTCTCTCTCTCTCTCTCTCTCTCTCCCATCTCTCTCTCTCTCTCTCTCTCTCTCTCTCTCTCTCTCTCTCTCTCTCTCTCTCTCTCTCTCTCTCTCTCTCTCTCTCTCTCTCTCTCTCTCTCTCTCTCTTTCAATATATATATATATATGTATGTATATGTTATTATCTGTCTATCTATCTCCCTATCTACTTTCTTTCTCGCTCTCTCGCTCTCTATCTATTTATTTATCCATCTATTTAGCTATCTATCTATATCTATCCATCAGTCTATCAATCACACACTCTCTCTCTCTCTCTCTCTCTCTCTCTCTCTCTCTCTCTCTCTCTCTCTCTCTCTCTCTCTCTCTCTCTCTCTCTCTCTCTCTCTCTCTCACACACAATATCCCCCATCAATATTCCTCATACTTTTTCCTCAGCTCCATTGTTTTTTATCGATCTAATTAACCTGGTACAATTTCAACATTTTTTTTCTCCAGACTTTTACATACCGTTTATATACAGTTGGCTTCTTACGCATTAAGGCTATCCTCTGCTTACTCTTGAGAACTCAGATGTAAACTCTTATGTTTGTGCGTTTGTATCTCTGTATAATGATGTTGGTATCGTTTTGATATTATAATTAATGCTGGTGTTATTATCGTTATCATGGTTAGTTCTTTTCATTATAGTTTATTTTCATTTTATCAAGAGCATCATCGGCTTCTGTAAGCCATAGACTTATCTTATAATTTCTCTCTCTCACTCTCTCTCTCTTTTTTCACACACACACACACACACACACACACACACACACACACACACACACACACACACACACACACACACACACACACACACACACACACACACACACGACCCCCCCCCCCCCCCAACCAACACAAACACACACACACACACACGGACACCCCTCCCCCCCACAACACACACACACGAATGCCTCCCCCCCCCCCCCCCCCACACACACACACACACAGCGGTGGAGTCCTGCACAGCCCGGCAGAGAGGCGTCGTGGGGATCCTGTTTTCGGTGCCTTTTGCTTTAGGAGTCATGGCACTTCCTGTTGTTGCTTTCCACGTCCGGCAGTGGCGCTTGCTACACCTTGCAATGTCGGTGCCTGTGATTGTGCTCATCACCAATACCATGTGAGTAGCTTTGTTGTTGTTGGTTTTATTGTTGTTGTTGTTGTTGTGGGATGTGGGGTTTGGCCATAATTTAAAGTTTGTATTTTTTTTAATTATTATTGTTATTATTGTTTATTACCTACTAATGAAGGTAATAAACAATATGTGTGTGTGCGTGTGCGTGTGTGTAGCAACTACAGCGACATCACACTGCTCATTGTACCAGGCAAGGTTTTCGCCCCAATTCTTCTATATATATATAGATAGATAGATAGATAGATATGTGTGTGTGTGTGTGTGTGTGTGTGTGTGTGTGTGTGTGTGTGTGTGTGTGTGTATGTGTGTATGTATAAGGAAATAGAAATGAAAAGTGAATATGTATGAGACAAAAGGATTGATTGATTTTCAAAAAAATCTGCATTAAGAAATCAAATATCACAAAGCCCTCTTTTACAAAAATAAAAGAGTGCTTTACAATATTAAATACCGCAATATCACAAAAGAGAAAGAAAAACAAAAAAATACCAGGAAAATGAAAGAAAGAAAGAAAGAAAAAGCAAATAGATTAGCAGATAATCACATCTTGCAACAGAAGACACAAAAAGCTCAACAGTGCAATCAGGAGAATAACATCTGGCGCACCTATCACACAGAGAGAGACGTCAGCCATCCACGACGAGTAATAATGAAGATGAGGAATTTCCTCAGCCCACGTGATTCAAGCCACAAAGGGCGTCTTCAAAAGGATGAGCTTTAGCGGAGAAAAGGGTGAGGGGGGGGGAGCGGGGCGGTCAGGCCACTCTAAGTGATAACCTGCGCCCACAAGGAGGTCGTCCTAGGCGTAGCGGGGCGTGGGACCTGCGTCTGGGAGGGGAGGGGGGCTTTATCTAGTGGGTATAGGGGGGTAGGTGGGAGAGGGAGGTGGAGGGAGGGGAGGGGGGCCCTTATCTCGTGGGTATAGGGGGTAGGTGGGAGAGGGGAGGGGGAGGGAGGGGAGGGGGGCCTTATCTAGTGGGTATAAGGGGTGGTAGGTGGGAGAGGGGAGGGGGAGGGAGGGGAGGGGGGCCTTATCTAGTGGGTATAGGGGGTAGGTGGGAGAGGGGAGGGGGGCCTTTTCTAGTGGGTATAGGGGGTAGGTGGGAGAGGGAAGGGGGAGGGAGGGGAGGGGGGCCTTATCTCGTGGGTATAGGGGGGAGGTGGGAGAGGGGAGGGGGAGGGAGGGGAGGGGAACCTTATCTAGTGAGTATAGGGGGGTAGGTGGGAGAGGGGAGGGGGAGGGAGGGGAGGGGGACCTTACCTAGTGGGTAAAGGGGGGAGGTGGGAGAGGGGAGGGGGAGGGAGGGGAGGGGGCCTTATCTAAGGAGGGGGCGGACTAGTGGGTATAGGGGGGAGGTGGGAGAGGGGAGGGGGCCCTTTTCTAGTGGGTATAGGGGTAGGTGGGAGAGGGAAGGGGAGGGAGGGGAGGGGGGCCTTATCTAGTGGGTATAAGGGGTGGTAGGTGGGAGAGGGGAGGGGGAGGGAGGGGAGGGGGGCTTTATCTAGTGGGTATAGGGGGTAGGTGGGAAAGGGGAGGGGGGCCTTTTCTAGTGGGTATAGGGGGTAGGTGGGAGAGAGGGAGGGGGGCCTTATCTCGTGGGTATAGGGGGGTAGGTGGGAGAGGGGAGGGGGACCTTACCTAGTGGGTATAGGGGGTAGGTGGGAGAGGGGAGGGGGGAGGGAGGGGAGGGGTACCTTATCTAGTGGGTATAAGGGGTGGTAGGTGGGAGAGGGGGGATGGAGGGAGGGGAGGGGGGCCTTATCTAGGGGTAGGGGGGAGGGGGAGGGAGGGGAGGGGGCCTTATCTAGGGGGTATAGGGGGTAGGTGGGAGAGGGGAGGGGGAGGGAGGGGAGGGGGACCTTATCTAGGGGGTATAGGGGGTATGTGGAAGAGGGGTAGGTAGAGGCAGGGGAAGGGATGTGGGGTACGGAGGTAGGGGGATGGGGAATGGGGGTAGGGGGCGAGGGAAGGGGTGTGCAGCATAAATATAGAACGCCGGGAAATTGAAAGAGTATGTTGGCGTAAGCTGATGGTAATAGAGTGGTATAAAAGAAGGAACAAAGGGAAAGTGGAAGAATGAAGAAGATGAGAAGAAAGGGGAAAATAAAGGCAATGCTTATAATGAATAAGGATTGGAAATGGCATGATAGAGCTAATAAAAATAATAATTTTTAAGCATGTTGTCAATTCTTAAAACACTAAGAATTTTCAGTTCCTAAAAAAGGATTTTCATAACATGTATAAGGTTAGGGATGTAATAAAGAGAATATATTTCATTCTCCTTTTGAATTCTATCAAAAAGGAAATGGATTTTTGAGTCACCTTCCCTGACTTTGCAATGAGAAGTATTTAATCAGTTGCGAGAATATCTTCGTCAGAAATACACGTATTTCGGACGAAGATGTAATCGAAACCTGTTAAATACATCTCTTGCATTATGAAAAGATTCATTTTCACTCATACCTTTTCTACATTTGTCAACATGAATACGATTCACATATACATACATGTGTGTATCTTCTTCTTCTACTACTGGCCTGTTCCCTGTGCGGGGTTGCCGGTGCGGATCCGTCTCTTCCAAGCATTCCGGTTTAAGGCATCCTCTTCCTGTAGCCCGACGCTCCTCATGTCGTCTCTAAAGCAGGCTATCCACCGCCTCTTGGGTCGCCCCCTCTTTCCTCTTCCGACTATCCTACTCATAACTCTTCTCCACGTACTCTTCATCCCTCCTATACACCACGTCCTCTTCATCCCTCCTATACACGTGCCCGAACCAACTAAGTCGACTCTCCCGCATCTTTTCACCGTATCGCTCAATTCCCAGTATTTTTCTAGTAGTCTCATACTTGATCTTGTCCAACCTAGTTACTCCGTCTTTATATCTCATCATCCTCATCTCTGCCACCTCTAGTCAGCATCATGATTAGGTTGGCGCAGTGTTTTATGACCGGATGCCCTTCCTGACGTCAACCCTCCTCCTTTATCCAGGCTTGGGACTGTCACCAAGTTGTGCTGGCTTGCACCCCTCTGTGGCGGAGTTACATGTATATATATATATATATATATATATATATATATATATATGTGTGTGTGTGTGTGTGTGTGTGTGTGTGTGTGTGTGTGTGTGTGTGTGCATGTGTGTGTGTGTGTGTGCGTGTGTGTGTGTGTGTGTGTGTGTGTGTGTGTGTGTGTGTGTGTGTGTGTGTGTGTGTGTTTTGTGTATGTATGCATGTATGTGTGTATATATTGGTGTGTATATATATATGAATATATATATATATATACTATTTTTCATAATGTGAGTGGTAATGATATTGATAAAAACAACAATGATAATTATGGATATGTTGAGGATTATGAGGACTAATAATAATTATATTAATATAATAATAATGATGGTAATGGGGATAATGATAATAATAATGATAATGATAATAATAATAATAATAATAATAATAATAATAATTATAATGATGATGATAATAGTA